AGCGTCCCGATTTCGGAGTTATTTAGAGTCTTGGGCTTAAGACGACTAGTGATGTATTATGTATCTACGGTTGCAGTGGGATCCCTTCGTGTATTCTCATCAAGATGGATTATTTAAGGAAGTGGATCTCCACAAAGGTGTTCCGTGGTTTCCGTGTATAGCGTCCCGATTTCGGAGTTATTTAGAGTCTTGGGTTTAAGACGACTAGTGATGTATTATGTATCTACGGTTGCAGTGGGAGCCCTTTGTTTATTCTTTCAAGAGGGATTATTTAAGGAAGTGGATCTCCACAAAGGTAGGTTATGTGTTATGGCGGTTGCCGCTAGAGTCTGTAATACATATCGGGGCAAGTGTGTGTGTAACTATCTATGATAGTCTTCGGTGCATGAGTTAGTGAACATAGTGTGGCATTATAATGAGAATGAGAGTATAGGGTGAAGCTACGGGAGCTGTAGTATTCACCAGTCAGAGGGTGTTGTGATGCTACGGGGAGCCGTAGTACTCAAAAGTCAGAGAGAGAGAGAGAGAGAGTCGTAATGCTACGGGGAGCCGTAGTATTCTCCAGTTAGAGGGTGTTGTGATGCTACGAGGATCCGTAGTACTCACAAGTTAGAGGGAGGGAGTCGTGGTACTACGAGGAGCTGTAATATCACTAGTCAGAGGTTGTCGTAATGTTGCGGGAAGCCATAGTACCCACTAGACGGCAAGAGAGTATGATGATGGACTGTTCTTCGATAAGTGCATGATGCAGAAGACTTTTTGGCTTGAGTAGCCCTAGTGTTGAGTTTATGGAGCCTAGTGGTTAAACTGGGGCAAGAATGGGGTCTCCGTCTCTGTCAGGAGGGTCAGCGAGGTGCATGGGAGAATGTGCGCAGCAGACGCCAGAGGTTAGAGCTGAGTCGATCTTCGATTAGATTGTATTTTTATGAGGGAAAGGGAATTTCGTGACTTGCGTGTCACTGGTTCGTGATAGTGGTCACAGGGAGGAAGTTAGTAAGACATTTTGGATCATGTTATGTGTGACCTTTGGGGGTTTAGCTATGGGGCTAAAAGCTGACCTGGTGCTCAGTATCGAAGATGAATATGAGAAATGAGCTAGAGTTGCCATAGGTGATGTCTGCAGACCCTTCGGAGAGAACGAATGATTCAGATGCTTGAGGATATGCTTCGGCTTTGCGTATTAGATTTCGGGGGGGGGGGGGGGGGGGGGAATTGTGGCCCGTATTTGCCCTTGGCAGATTTTTCCTACAACAATAGCCATCATTAGTGCATCAGTATGCCACCCTTTGAGCTGTTGTAGGGGAGGAGGTATCGGACCCCATTTGCTGGGGAGAAGTAGGGTAGCATGTGATGGGAAATACAGAGATTGTGCTGCAAACCACAGAGCAGATATAGCGGGTCAGACAGAGATTGTTGACCGCTCAGAGCCGCCAGAAGAGTTATGCGGATAGACGACGATCTGAGCTTGAGTTCCTGGTCGGTGACTATGTTCACCTGAAGGTATCTCCTTGGAAAGGAGTGATTCGATTCAGGAGGAGGGGCAAGCTAGGGCCCCGGTATATCGGGTCGTTCAGAGTAATCGCGATGGTGAGCAAGGTAGCGTATCGCTTGGAGCTACCTGCAGAATTGGAGCGGATTCATAATTCCTTCCATGTGTCTCAGTTGAGGAAGTGTATAGCCGGTGGTAGTGCTATTAGAGGACATCCAGGTGGATGCGAGCCTGAACTACGCGGAGAGACCAGTTGCGATTGTGGATCGGAAGATCATGGTTCTGAGGAACAAGGAGGTGCCGTTGGTGCAGGTCCAGTGGCAGCATCGGAAAGGGTCGGAGCTTACTTGGGAACCGGAGCGTGAGATGCGTGTGTAGCATCCGGAGCTATTTCAGGGATGAGACTTCAAGGGCGAAGTCAGATTCAAGTGGGGGAGAATTGTAACATCCGTAATTTCAGGTATTATATTTATTCATTTTATTTTGAGTTTTGAGGAAGAACTCGGTGAGTTGGTGCGTAGACTCGTCGAGTAGAGATGCGATTTCTCATCCGGATTAATGACTGGACTCGACGAGTTGCATTGGTGGACTCGGCGAGTCAACGTTGTTTAATGAAACCCTAATTTCTCAGGTTTGGGGCCTATTTAAAGGTCCTTATGGCCGTCATTTGTGCTCACCAGCCCCCAAAGCGAAACCCTAGTGCACTTGAGCGTTTGGAGTGAGAGAATGAGCCATTATCAACCTTGGAGGTCTTGTCTAGCAAGGGAAAGGAAGTTTTAGCCAAGAGGAAGCACGAGGAACAACGTCCTGAAGATTTGAGGTCCAGAACATCACATTTGAGGTACCATTTTCGAACCCTTTTCTGTTGAGGTGATGTTCATGTTGATTTAGGGTTTATTGAGCCCTTTTGTGGCTAGATCTAGTGCCCATTTGGTCCCTTAAGCGAGTTAGGTTCTGGATATGGACCCTTGGAGGTCCAGAGTGTCCCTTTGTCCAAGCTTTTTATGAATCCATGGAGGTTTTGGTTTGGGATCTTTGTGTTTGAGGTCAAAAAACCATTTATGAGTCATTAGGTGTGATATGAGCGCTAAGACATGAACTTTACGTGAAAAATAAGCTTGGAAGGACTGGATCTATGAGTTAGTGGAACAGATCTGACCTCAGAAGGTCGTTTGGGGTTGTGCATGGAATGCACTCGCCGAGTCCATTGGCACACTCGACGAGTTGGTGCGGTTTCTTCATAGATTTCGAACCAGGGGTTGAGTAACCGAGTTGGGTGAGTGACTCGGTGAGTCGGAAGGAACTCAGAGGAAATGGGGTCCTCATAGGGAGTTGGCGAGTCCACGCCAGACTCGGCGAGTTGGGGTTGACCATTGACCATTGACCAGAGTTGACCGGTTTTGACTTGATAGGGTTAGTCAACCTTAGTTGGGAAAGTGTTAACTAGAGATGTATTGTGTTATAAGAGGACTATAGCTCGGGAGATCGAGCACTAGTGATTTCAGGGATTCACGAGTTACCGAGATACGCGAGGTGAGTCCTCTCACTATACTTTACCTTGAGTAGGTAAATATAGTTATGCGATACAGTGCTTTATATATATTGTTTGTTGTACTACATTCTTCTATGTGATTTATGTTGTGCATGCTTGCAGAGTTAGAACCGGAGGGTTCACAGAGTTTGGGTGCACGGACCCACAGAGTTATAGCCTCGGGTGGCTAATATGTGTTATATGTGGTATTTTGGGGAACTCACTAAGCTTCGTGCTTATAGTGTTTTGTGTTATGTGTTTCAGGCTTCTCTCAGGATCACGGGACGACATCGGCTTGATTGTACACACCAGCGAAAGAGTCATGTTTAAATGAAAAATTGTTTTGAAATTTACGGTGTTACATTGCAAGAAAGAAGGAAGGAGGACAAACAAGGAAGGTTGAGGAGCTCAGATCCACCAGCTAGTCATCAAATGAGGCTACTATAGGTACTAATCTGTGCTCAAACTCGTGTATTTGGTGTTCTAGTTGAATCTAGGGTTTCTTTGTGCTCTCTTTGGATTGGATTCGAAGTATGTGAGGTCCCAAGGTGGAGTTCTTCATAGATTTGGACCTTAAGAGGTCTAGAGAGTCCCATTCACATTGCTTTTTGCTACTCCTTTAGAGATATGGCGCTAGGTTGCCATTTTAGGGGTTATTTCACCCAAAGAAGCTTTTTGGTCATTGCATGAGTGTAAAGGTCAGACCTTTACATGATTATAGTGGTTGGTAAGGCCAGATCTATGGACTGGAGGAACAGATCTGACCTCAGGAGGTCATTCGAGTTTAAGCATGGCATGAGCTCGCCGAGTCCAAGAACAGACTCGGCGAGTAGGATAGTTTTCCCCCCCATGAATCACAAAGTTAGAGACTCGCTGAGTTTGGGAAGTGACTCGGTGAGTCATTGGGGATTTTGAGGACTCAAGTTCACGACTGAACTCACCGAGTCATAATTGTGCACTCGGCGAGTGTGGTCAAAGGGTTGACCGTTGAATTTTGTTGGCTTTTAGGGTGGTCAACAATTGGACTTGTGAACTGTTTGAAGGGTAAAATGGCCTTTTAGCCTTCTTAGAGGACGTGTGAGGATTTAGTCTAGCCTGGAGAGCCGTTATTAATCGAGATGATCATTTATGTGTTTAGGCAGAGCCTAGATCAGTGTTACACGAGCGAGATATTACTGAGACATCCGAGGTGAGTTTTCCCACTATACTTTACCTTGCGTAGGTAACCAGAGTTATGTGATGGAGTACCTTGTATGTTATCTATGTGACGTGTTACACTACATTATTTCTATGTGATTTATGCTGTGAGAATATCAGAGTTAGGTTTTGTGTTTGCACCTAAATATCAAAATTGAGTCAGTTATATGCATATTATAGGCTACATTTTGGATATCTAGACTTAGAATCAAAGCCTAAGTAAACCCCATGTTTGATCTTGGTTGATTGGTACGAATTTATAGATCGATTTAATCTGCTAACTGCGAACTCACGACGTGAGGCCTAGTTTCACACTTTCTGTTTTGTTGTTGATTCATTTAATTGTTGATATTTCCTTTTGCTTTGTTTCTTGTTTATTATGCAGGAAATGGCTTCCAATAGAACCAATGTGCAGTTCCAAGCGAATGTTTTTGACCACCACCCGTTGTACCAAATTCCAGTCAACATGCCTCAAAATGGGGTGACAAACTTTTCAAACAAGTTGGGTTGGCTACATAGCAGGGAATTTGCTATTTCTCATAGGATTGATTGGGTGAAATTAGAAGAAGTGGGACTTACGAAAAGGATGGCTCCTTATTTGACGAAGAAGTTTACGAGGGACGGTTTTTCTTTCACTTGTAATGGGTGGAAGAATGTATTTGAAATAAGCAAGTCCATTTTTCAAGAACTTAGTGTGGAATTTTTTGCATTGGTATCATTTGTGGATGCCACTGTGAATCCATGTTTTCATGGGCTTTAGTTTTTTGCCTCAGTGGTGAATACATGGAGTGCAATTTGGCAGAGTCTTCTTGGCAAATGGGAATTTATGATGATAGTGAGATGAAAACCCCGACTTTTGATATCTTCTTCAGGATAGTTGTTCGGGAGTGTTTACCGGGAGTTAGTGGCTATGATTTTTGGGAAAGTATTGCAAAAGGGGCATTTCATTCAGGTGTTTCGAAAGAAAGCCATATTCAGTCCCCGATTCATAAACTCCTCCATCGGTTGGTTACTTTTTCTATCAACTACAAGAAGCATGGAGACAAAATGACAACTTTAAATTTATTCTTCTTATGGTCAGTTATTGCACCAGTGGTTTTTTGTAATATACCCTACCATCTTGCTAGCTACTTGGGTAGCAAGTCAACCATCTCTTGAGTAGGAATCCCTATCAATGGAGGACATTTTGTTAATCTCTTGGCAAGATCCTATGGTCTTTTGACACCATGGTTAACTAGGACGGTAACATGCAAGGCAGGGAATGATCTTTCTACGGGATATTTGGAGCCCATGCATGTTTTTGTCAATATGGGATCGCACTGGAGTATGCATGTTGATAATTATGGGGAGAAAATTGGGCAACCTGAGCAGCAACCACATCTAAGAGGAAGGAGAAATGTTCATGGGCGTGGTGATAGAGGTCAGCCGATGCACCAGAATGCACCAATGGAAGGAGCACCTCTTGGCGAGGAGACGATGGCGGGCTATTTTGATCAAATGAGCTTGAGTAAGAAGTGGATCGGTGGGACGATGATGAATATGATCCGAGACTTCAACGTTACACAACCACCTCATTTGGGAGACCGTTATCAAGTTTGTTCGACATAAAGCGAGTATAGGACACGATGCGAAGATGGATTCGGGACGAGTGGGACACACGAAGATGCCAATGATTATTGATTTTATCCTTTTATTAGACGTTTTATTTTTCTTTGTCATTTTTGGTGTGTTTGTTTTTATTTTGGTTTTTTTAGAATGTGTAACAATACTTTGTGATGATTATATTGCTTCTTTCCACATTTTGGTTGCTTTATTGTAGAAAATCATGAGAAAATAGAGATATTAGAGATAAGAGCATATAAGAGCGGAGCCATTTCGTTTAGAGTCAAGAGTCAAGACCCATAACTTTTAATAAGTGTGGGGTTAATTTCATGAGAGAAACGAGACTAGAGATGAGGCAAGAGTCAAGAAAAATATAGACTTAGAAGGGTCTTAAAGCATTATGACATTCAGTTGCATTTCACTTGATAGAAGAAATTTTTACAAGGTTGCAATCTGTGCGACACAGTTCTCACGACGTGAGCTTTCATTTCTCACGTCTTGAGCTCGATGTCAATAATATGTTGAATTTGTTTCTTATGACATCACGTTCTGAGTATCTTTCTCATGTCGTGAACATTAAGAAATGACATTTATTTACTATTCCACGTTTGCAATGTGGTGTATGCTTTCCCACATTGACATACTATGATTTGAAGATCTTATGCACCACATTTGCTAAATATTTGTGTTTCTTATTCACATTTTTCTAGCACAATTCTTTATCTTAGAAGATCCAAGTTCCTATGACATACTCAAGGTGTTCAAGTTTTCACACAAGTTTTAAATCGACCTCGCCGCTACTACCACAAGGGAGTTTGTGTCTTTTTCTCCCTTTTATTGCTTTTAAATTCTTTTATGCATACCATGAGGGCATTGTATGTAATAAGTGTGGGGTAGGGGGTCGAATAAGTAAACTGTTAGAAAATTTTAATGAATAAGTAAATTGCTAGAAAATTTTAAAATTTGAACTTTTTAAAAAAAAATTTATAAATAGATTTGAAATAATAATCTAAAAATTAAATCTAGTGATAATTAAAAACTTAAGTTGCTAGTGTTATGTGTGATGATCCGATGTGAGTTTAAATGTTTAATTGAGCCAACACATGTTATAGTATATTTGTGGCTTCCCAAGTCTTAGTGAAAAGTCATAATATATGAAAGGTAATCTAATAGTTTATACGGCATAATACGTTTTGCAGCCTAAACCTGAAATATATCCTGGAGAGCTTATGTAATCATTGCACTTAGACTAATTCCTTTAACCAATAAAGGTTAAAGTTAAAATCCCTTGCTTAAGCATGTAGGATTTGAGCAAAAAAATGGAGATATTATATAAGAAAAGAGAGACAGATTAGCAAAAAATTGTAAGAATTTTGGAGCTATCAAAGTATGAAGATCAAAAGATCAAAAATTTTGAAGAATGAAAAAGTTGAAGATACCAAAAATCAAACAAAAAGGTGGTAAATTCAAAAAAATCAAAGATCAATTATTCAAAGAAGTGAAGAATTCCAAAGACCTCCATTGTGGTATCTAAGGTTGTAATTTTATAGATTGTGTATGCTTGGGTAGTTTAACAAAAAATACCTTCAGGTTAAGAAAGATTTTTGAGGATTGATTCGGATGGTTGTAGAAATGAGTGTCGTATAAACTAAGGGGGGGAGGTTCATAACGATTGTGAGTATTTAGGATTGAGAAGTTGTTAGGATTTTAGACACAAATATGCGCATTGAGGTCTTAGTGTAATGCCTGAGTTCAAAATGGATTGTCTTATGTGATGCTGGTGATGAAAGTTTGACCTAAAATTCATTACCATTTCTTGTAGGCAAGCAAAGGATAAATGTGGGGTATTTAATATTGCCATATTTATACACATTTTTAGGCAATATACTAATGCATTTGATTAATATTTTGGTTATTTGCAAAGATATATGGTACTTATGATATTAAATTATATTTTGTAGCCAAAAGGAACACTCTTGAAGATAAAGAATCAAAAGCGATAAGAATTGGGACTTTGGAGGGTTGGAGCTTAAAAGGAGAAGTATCTAGCTAAAAAGTCAATCTCGTGACGTGAGGAATCACTTCTCACGACATGAGCCTCAAGATTGTAGAATATTGACATTCAGAAGGTCAGAGTTCATGTTCGATATAGATAACAACCAAGCTCATGACGTGAGAAGAATAATTACCAAAACTATATATAATCCTTAACAATTACAAATTGAGGGGACTTGGAGGATAGAGAGAGATTTTTGGAGGAAATTTAATTAGATAAACCAAGTTAAAAGCATTCGAGGAAGGAGATTTGATTGAGAGATTGAAGAACATAATTGTTACTTTGATTTGGTACACTTTGATCATGTCCTTATTTGTTGGATTTAAGTTTGCAATTTCAACCATGTGTAGCTGAATATAACTGCTTCTTTTAACAAGATGATGCTTTAACTCCATGGATTAGTTTAATTAATTATGGATTTTAATAGTTGGTTATGTTCTTGTGTTTGATTATTATTACCTAGCATGTTAATATTTGATACTTTAATTACTTGAATTCATGTTCTGTGTAGCTTATTGACCATTAAATTACATGAACTTGACACCTAGTGATTTAGTGACCATTGAATTGCTAGAGTTAGGATCGACCCAATATTAGATAAGTAATTGAAGTAACTAAATTTAGTTATGCTGTGGAAATTATGACCATAATTGTGTTTGTTAAATAAATCTTACATAGCCCCATCCATAACTAATAACTAATTATGTGTTTACTTGTGTATGACCATACATAGTTTTACATGAATTAGTGAAACATTAGTCAATTTGGACTTAAATTACTAATAATATAATATTTGGTAACCAACTTTAATAATCCATAATTAGTAGCTAACCATAGAGGATAAGTAGATTCGAACTAAACGGAAGTATTTTTAATATATTGATTAAATTTGTTAGTTAAGTAATTAAGTTTGTCTAAACTGGCAAAATCAGATAAACACCTATTTAACTATTGTTGGTTTTAGGTTAATTTTAGTAATTAATTTAGTTAATTAAATATGTTCCCTACATTCGATACTTGTCTATTGAGGTATACTATATTCAACATGGTACACTCCCTTGGTAATAATTAGTTTCATTACTAGGATAAAGTAGTGCATAATTATTTGATCATCAATTATATATAAATTGAAACCTGATAATAATGATTTTTATTGAGATCATGAAATTTATATTATAGATCCATTAAAGATGATTGAGTTTACTCATGTAGATGATGATTGTGATTTGATTCTTCAAGAGGTAAAGAGACCTAATCACAGAAGATTCTATCTATGATGATCATTATAAAGTGTGTGGATGGTCAATTGAAAGATAATGAAATCTAATCTCAATATGAGATTTGCAACACACCGTTTTGAAAGTACTTGTTTGTGGTCCCGGAAGCCAAAGGGTAGGGGCGATTCGGTCTTTTATGGGTCTCAGGTTTTTTCCAGAAGGTTTTAGGCTTGGGGTGTGGCTAGGAGCGTAGGGATTCTCTCCACCTTTTCATGATATAAAGTTCGTTAGAAATGGACTTAGAGTGAAGGAGTTATGACACTTTGAAGTTATTGTCAATTTTAGCCCCAAATGGAGTTTTGTGACAAGGCATACCATGCATGCAAGGAATGCATGCATGTGTTTAGCTGGGTACACCCAACGTAAGTTGGGTTACGCCCAGCATATAAGGTTATATGGTCGCAGGTGCGGAGAGGCGTACGCCCAACATACGCTCAGTGTTTCTATAACCCTAATTTTAGGGTTGTGTCACTATAAAAAGAATAATGTGCCTCATGGGTTAGCCTCCATCTCATCTTTAGAGAGCCACCATGAAACCCTAACCCTCCCTTGATTGTTCTTTAAGCTTTGGATGCCATTAGAGAGCATTTTGGTGTTGTGAAGCCATTTTTTAAACAAGTGAAGAGTATAGCAAGGTGGTGGATCTAAAAGGAAGCAGTAGATCCAAGATTGTTGTTCCATTTCAGATCATTTTGAGGTATAAAGTCTGAAAGTTTCCTCAAGTATGCTTAGATCTATGTTAATGGAGTGTTTGGACCTTTTAGGTCCCAAGAATGGACCTTTATGACTCAACTCGTTTTCTAGGTCTAGGGTTGCCACCTTTAGTGTCATATGAGTCCCATATGAAGTAAAGTTTCAATCTTTAGGGCTCATTTGTGACCATGCATGAGATCTATACCTTTTCATGGAAGTTTGTTGTCATGTTTCAAGTTTAGGCTCATTTGGTGGGTTGCAAGCCACCAAGTAATCAACTTTATGGATTAAGACATTGAAGAGGACTTGGATCTGTAATTGTAGCTTCAGGAACGGAGTATTAAGCACTTAATAGGAAAGGTAGCTAAACAGAGGAGTATATTGCGCGTACATGCAGGTACACACAGCGTACACCACCTTCAGCTAGTATGCTTAGCGTACAAAAGAGTACGCCCCGCGTACTCATCAGTTATGGGCTCGGTGTGTTTTGGGCCTTGGGTTGGACCAAGTAGTGGACTTTGGGTCTTTAGGACTTAGTGGGCCATCAGAAATCAGATGTTTTGGGCCAAGAATATGTTTGGGCTTAGGGTAAGGCCTATTAGAAGAATTGGGCCCAAATAGCTAATTGGGCCACTAGTGGGCTTGGAAAGCCTACCTAGTGTGGGCCCTTTGTATTATGGCTTTGGGCCTTAGATATGGACCAAGTTAGACTAGGGATAAAATGGTCATTTTACCCTAAGGAGGATTATTGATTTGGGCTAATTGTCAATTTGGGTAATTGTAGCTCATGGAGTCTAGAGACTAGTAGTTCCGGGATCCACCAGCTAGCAGCGAAGGGTTATTCGTAGGGTTCTACAATCAGCTTGTGAGGTGAGTATCATCGCTATTTGTATGGGTCTAAGTCACCAATACCGACCCATTTAGTTTTTGTATGATAGGAAGACCCGGGGTTATCCCTAAGTATTATGCATGAAAGACTA